CTCTAATAAATAAATAAATAAATAAATAAATAAACAAATAAATAAATAAAAAAAACTGAATGCATTTTGAGGGGAAAAAGACGGTTGAGAGCTTGAAGGTCTCTAACTGGTAGAGCCACTTACTTTTGTGGCTGATCCTCTATCCTAAACAGTGTCAAGATCACTTCATCAGTGTAGGACTGGGACAGGAGCTGAAGGATCTTCCGTATGGTGTTCTGGGCGGCAGCCTCAGTGATGCTGCTCATGTGGAAGTAAATGTACTGGATGATCTCTGGCACCTGAAAGAGGCACAAGGAGGCTTTATCGGCAGGGGCAGCACCAGCTCAGTGGGAGCCACACAGCCAGGCCCCTGCGTTGGGTATGGGGCTGCACACAATGTGTTCAAGGATGACTGGATTAGGATTTCTTAAACTTGTGCTGCTAGGAAATAAAAACATAAGATACACACACACACACACACACACACACACACAAAGGAAGATTTTGTATGTAGACTTGGAAGCCTTAACCCCCCCGCCCCCAGAAGGCTACCTTCTCAATTTCTGGGATAGAATACTTCAGGATCACATCCAACATCTTGGTGGCTGCGTAGATGTCATCCCTACTTCTTCTGGTCAGGCTCTCCATGGTCACCATGATCACATCGGCCCTCTCCGCTGGGGTCAGATATTTCCTGAAGAACTGAGGAAGAATACAAGAGCTGTCTCTGCCACGCCACCATCTCACCCAGGACTGTCCCAAAGCCTCTGGCCTCCAGGGACACCAGGCAGTCAGGACCCACAGAGGCCACTGACAGCATCTGGCTCTTTCATGGTGTGAGGCCAAGCTCCAGAGTGCTGCCAGCTCTGAGGTCCCCAAGAAGGATCCATGATCCAGACAGTGTGACGCTGAGGGAAAAGCAAAGCACATTTCTCATGAACTTGGGATGCAGTTAGGTAAGTCCCTTGGAAATGAATTCTGATATCTAGTGAGTCTGCCGTATTCCAAACAAGAACTTCCGGCTTCGTGTCCCGGGACCTACATGTCCAGCGAAGCTCAACCATTCAAGCAAGATTGATGCCAGCTCTATGCCTGTGTGTTCTCTTCTGGGAGCTGGGGGCCACTGAGACCTCCTTTGCCATCAGTCATGGCCAATGAAGAGAGGCAGAGGCAGGGGCAGGCCCGGAAGATAGACTGGAAGGGTAGAAAAGGCTTTCTGGGATCCATCTTCAGCAAAGAAGGAGGAAAGCATTCTGGGCAGCAGGAGCAGAATGTGCATATGCCTTGAGTGCTGAGGGGTTTGGTCTGATTACTATGTCCTGCATGGGAGACCTGGGCCAAGTGGAAAAACAGAACTGAGACATGGTGAGACGGGGTAGCTAAAGCAGAAGCCAGATCGCAAAAGGCGTCTGGGCTAAGTGAAAAAGTCTGGGTTTCAGAATAAAGACAGCAGGAAGTCAGTGCAGAGGATGAGGAGAAGGTTTGCATCTTAGAAGCAGTTTTCTGACTGTAGCATAGAGAATGGTATGAATGGGGTGCTGGAGACAGGACAATCAGTAGGAGGCTGCTGCAATGAGCCGAGCAACAGAGGAAGACGGACTGAGTCAAAACTGCTGCAGCGGGGCTGGTGAGATGGCTCAGTGGTCTAAAGCACCTACTTAGAACAAGCTAAGCTAAGCAAAAGCACAGTGACCGCAGTTCAATCCCC